GTGTGTGTGTGTGTGTGTGTGTGTGTGTGTGTGTGTGTGTGTGTGTGTGTATGTGTGTGTGTGTGAGAAAGAGAGAGTGTATACTCGTGTGTGCGTATTTGTCTGTGACTAGGAGCAGCAAGAACAAGAGACACCATTGCTGCAACGTAAGACAGACTGAAGTGGAGGTCCATGATCGCCCATGCCAGTCGGCAAGACACCGGATGATGAAGATGATATGTCTGTGTGTATGTTTGTGTGTGTGTGTGTGTGTGTGAGAGAGAGAGAGAGAAAGAGAGAGTGAGGGGGGGGAGAGAAAGAGAGAGAGGGAGAGAGAGAAAGAGAGAGAGAGAGAGAGAGAGAGAGAGAGAGAGGGAGAGAGAGCCCAAATGATAGGAAGAAGAAACTCATAGACGAAAAAGTCAATCAGTCATGGTGACGTTCTCCGCACAAAAGTAGATTTATTCGTCCTTCAATTCCTCCTTCCGCGACTCCACTCCAGAAGATGACGACAGGGGATAGGGAGGCCCTCCTACGATGCTGTTTCTCCATTTGTCAGCGCGATGCAAGCAATGACCTGATCAGACCCAAAAAAAAAAGGACGCCAAAAAAGAAAAGGGCAAAGAAAAAAAGCCCAAAAAATTGGAGCACGTCCCTCGACGGTGATAATGAGGTTTTATATGATTGAGCCTTCGTCCTGCCGCCTCCCACAGCACAAGTTTTCCACGTGTTAGCACAAAGGGCAGAACTAAAACCTCTGTTTTCATCATTACCCCCGAAGTCTCTCATTGCACAGTCCAACACGGATTAGCTCCCGTTACGAAGAAACCCCGCTCGCCGCGACGTCCGTTCGGCCAAAAAATAAAACAAGAAAAGAAAATCGCATTAGGAGAGGAGCGTCGGCGAGCCTCTGTTGGTTATCTAGAGGAGATAATTAAGAGGGAATTAAGGCGTTCCTTCTCTAATCTGAAAATCTCAAGACAGGCTAGGTGAGGAACAATACTTGAAGATGATACTCTATGTTTAGAGGAGGGTTAAAAAACGCAAACCCCTAAATCCTTGGAGAATTTCTGGGAAAGTGGCGTACGTCCATAGGGTGATAATACACACACAGAAGGCAACTCGAATTGGGTTTTTTTTAAGCTGCCCCTCCCCCCACCACACACCCAATGTAACGATATCCCTCTTAATTGTGAAATAGGAGAATTATGTAAGAATTAGCCCATTTTTTTAATCACCCTCATTGCGGCCTGACCATCTCAGCCTAATTCTTTGTTTCATCTGTCTCTAATTTATACACCATTTTTCTTTATCTTGCATTTATTTAAACTTCCATGTTTGTCAAATGAAGGTGTTTTTTCGTCCACATCGACTTAATTTAGATTTTAAAAAATACTTTAATCCATCATACTCTATCAAGTCTTAACGTCCAATCAGGCATTCGTTTTGGTTTTTTATCACTATCGGTACGAATAATTAAGACAGTTACTATTTTCTTCGAAAACTCGCTTACACTTCCATAAACACACTCAATCAATGCACTGGTCTTCATAATACATTGGCGGATGGGCAATGCACATAATATTATTATTATTAAAACATACAAAAATAAATTATAT